CGCCAGCCTCTGGCCTTCTGGCTGTGCAACTACTTGGTTCCACACTGCAGAGGCACAAGGGGACATAAAAGTCATTGTCCTGAGCTGCAGAAGTGAACAACCAAGAGAGAGCCTCTCTCAGGCTCCCTGATGAAAACAAGCTCACTGGAAAAAGTGAAGAGAATCTCTGCAATAAAGGCACACCAGACCACTGTGATTGTTAAGTTGGAGGGATCAGCAGCTCCCATCAGAACCTGGAATTTCTTCAGGGGAAAGACAGCTGAAACCTGCAATAGAACCTTGCAGAGTGCAACCCTGCAGGAGGACAGGGAGCTCAACTGGGGACTTGCAGCCAGAAATCTGCCTGAATCTCACAGGTCTGAGACTAGCTTACTGAGACTCACTGACTTATAACTGCACACTGCTGCCCACATTGTCTATTGTGACAGCAGAGACATACCCTGAAGGAGACCCTTCATTTTTAAAGGTGATAGATAAATAACTACCACAAATTGTCATTCTCTAAGATGTATTTGATGCTATGATGTTGCTGATTGTATCACTTGGGCTAAGGTGTTGTGATTGATCTAATCAGTTGTCCTTCCTGGTATAATGAAAATGAGATAGCCTCAGAGCCATTAGAGACTCGAAATCTAAAGACCAGCTATATCTGGAAGACACCTCTGAGAAGCAATCATTCCATAAGGGTTCTAAATACATCAACAGAGATACTTACAATAAGCAAGCAATCATTCCATAAGGGTCCTAAATACATCAACAAAAATACTTACAATAAGCAACTTTAAAACATCAACCCAGGAACTAAACCAAGGACAGTACCAAAAACAAAAATGAGAAGACATATAAGCAAGTCACAAACTCAGACTTCCACGCCACAAAAGGCAAATTCTGAGGGAAAGGGGGTGGAAAAGTCTCATAATCAATCACCTGGACACCCTGAACTGATAGCACAGGAAGTAACAAACAGATGAATGAGGCTCTAGAAAAATTCAAAGCAGAAATAATTTCCCAGGTAACTACAGAGATGGTGAGCAGAGTGAAGGACATGATTACAGGCTCTCGAATAGAAACTGATAAAAAAAATAGATGAGCTCAGAAACATGCTGGAAGTCAAGAACGCCCAGCATAAGAAAGAAATGGAAACCACGATCACCCAACATAAGAAAGAAATGGAATCCATGAAACAGATTCAAACAGATATTCAGGAGATTAAAAACTCCACTGAAAGCACGCAGAGCAGATTAAGAGAATCTGAAGATAGAATATCAGATATAGAAGACAGGATTGTGGTGAAGGACCATGAAAACAGAATCTCTTAAAAATAGTAAGGGACCATGAGAAATCAATCCAACAGCTGCTAGATGATGCAAAGAAGAATAGCATAAGACTGGTAGGAGTCCAAGAAAAAACAGGAGAAAGTACAATTGACATAAAAAAACTGTTCACAGAAGTAATAGTAGAAAACTTCCCAGATAGAGGAGGAGAATTGGACATACAGATAAGTGAGGCATATAGGACTCCACCTAGCCATGATCAAAAAAAATCTACACCTAGACATATAATAGTCAAGATCCCAGAAACCCAACAGAAGAACAATATCCTACAGGCAGATAGAGAAAAGAAACAAATCACCCATAAAGGAAAGCCCATCAGAATCATGGCAGTCTTCTCAACACAAACCCTCAACTCAAGGAAAGCCAGGAGTCAAGTATTTCAAGCCCTAAAAGAAAATAACTTCCAACCTAGACTGTTGTATCCTGCAAAATTATCTTTCAAAATTGATGGGGAAATTAGATACTTCCATGACAAAGAACACCTGAGAAATTTTAGGAACACCAAACCAGCACTCCAAACAA